GACATATTGTATATCTATGTTTATAGGCTACTCCTGATGCTTTTTGTATACATAATTTTTCTATGCCTTGACCCTCAAGTGCGACTTGAGGACCTAGTGCCTCACATCACATTTGCCTTCGACTGCATTGGATCTAATAAAGAGAGTTGATACAGTGAACGCAACAATAGCAGTGTCTTGATTACAGTAGTCACTGAATGTATACTTCATTCATATAATGCATTTCAGACAGAATTGGCCAAGGTGCAAATCACAAACTTATACAAATTACAAAATAATAAGAGACATAAATAACTGGTAGGAACATACTCTGAAAACGACAAATGACTATCCCACTTCAAGATGAATATCAAAACAGAAAATAACAGAAATATACACAAGTGACATAAATAACATTTTTTGGAAGAACACAGACTGTCTCAACTCTCAAGTGCTCCTCCGGCAGTAAGAACAACTGCTTTCAATAATAGCATCCCCACATGGTCACCCAAACTGTCATATGCTAGTGTCGGATCAATATCCATAAAGAACCCCACAAAAATAAACTTTGCATAAACACGGCACATATGCTGGAGTTTGCATTTAAGTTATAGCTACCATATTGTGGAATGCAAGATGATTTCTCTTTCTCACGCCAGTATGCCACTAACTAGAATCGATTTAAAACCATAACAAATGCTAGCTCTTGAATAGCATATATATACATTATGTTTCAGACACAATGAAAAGTAAATTCTAATCTATCTTGTTATGAGAATAAGAGAAATGAGCATTTGTTTTGTTAATGATTGCTTAGTATTACCCCATCTTATCTTACTAACTCAAGTGGTCAAATTCATTATTACATGTAAAATTGTTTTCGCTCTTTTCTAGTCTGATGAAAGGAAAAACTTAGGAGTTAGGTCAGACAAAAAAAGTGAAACATAGATATTTCTATGAGTATAGGCATCAAAAAACAGTACACCATCCTGCATGCCATGGACAATATGTTCCTACAAGCTTAGCTTCAAACATAGCTTTAGTTTGTCTATCTATCAAACAAACGAACTTTCCGATTTACATGTAGACAATCCAAATAATTGTACAAAGGAACCAAACCGAACCTAAATTCAGTACCTGCTTGACAGACTCGGCGATCTCTGGCCCGATGCCATCGCCGGGAAAGAGCGTGGCACGGATGGTCTCCCCGGACTCCGTTGAAAACGGCGCCACGGCCGGTGCCAAAGCCCTGCCGGCTACCCGCGGCAGGACACTCCCCTGCAGCAGCCTCCGGAGCGCCATGCCTGCCCCCCACAGCCCTGCGACAGCCAACACCACGCACGTCAAACCTGATCGAACGGGACGCCGCCTGCATATATATAGTGCCTAACAACTCAAACGGTACACGAAACCGCCCGCCCCCACGCGCGGAATTCGATCGGAGGAAACCCTCTAGATTCGAGGGGAATTCGATCGGGGGAGAGAGGTCCGCCCCCGATTGAACGGGAGGCGATCATAAAAAGGCAAGGAGGGGTGGGTAGCAAGATAGGAGGAGGGAATGTACCGGACAACGAAGATTCGCAAGGGTTCGCAGCGGCGGCGGCGGCGGGCGGTCGTCTGCGGCGGCGAGGAGGTGGGAGGAGGGGAGAGAATGGTGAAGGGAGATGCGGAGGAGAGAAGGGTGGTGGTGGAAGGAGACTTCTTCCGGGCTTCCTCCGATTTTTCTGGCCGTCGATATGGATGGGACGGCTGGTGTTGCGTGGGCCTTGCCGCGTCGATGGTGAATGGTGATGCTTGTTTGTTGCGCAAGCAGAAGAGAAGATTTTGGTTTTTTTTCCCCGGAGATAGAAGAGAAGATTCTTTCAGAGTTGGCCTTGGGCCCAATTTTTTATTTTACCGTAGAAAGAAACTTGATCTTCAACGACCGCAAAACAATTGTTTTTAATTGTAAATTGTAAATTTCATTGTCGTCTTGGCTTTGGAGAGCTTCTTTAACTAATCTCAAGGAGTTGGATTAAAAAAATGATGTATAGCTTACGTCTGGTTATTTCACATATTTGAATCTGGTTGTTTTGATTCACATGAAATCTCTCTTTGCAGGCAAATAAAACTAAAATGGGACTGGATTTTTTTTCTTTCCTTGAAAAAGGTTGTATTTGATGCTCTACATTCTAAAATATATACACTTCTATTTTTGTTGTAAGTCGAATGGTTCTAAATTTGTCCGACTCTATTTAAAACACTAGTATTATAATTTCAAAAGAATGGGCATCAATAAATCTATCATGAAATATAGTAGGAGGAACCGTCCAAATTATCAAGGTTGAACTCGAACTATCGGCCTTTTGCTAACATGGCTTGAGCAAAATAATCTCGTTCCTCCCTAATATTCGACATGCAACTCGTGCAAACCTAGAAAGAACACATATGTCCCTTGCACAATTAAGTAATCATGATATGGTACATGATAGGACAAATTTAAAGGTTAGTTATAAATCTTGATTACACTACAAGCCTCAAACTGAAACTATACAGATTTGGGACTCTTGCCTAACCTAGAATGGCTATCATGCCATGTTTCGTCTAGGCTAATTACAAGGGCTTCGGATCGTACATGGAGGTTCCATACTTCCATGGACCATATGCAAGCTCAAGACAAAAACTCACAAGTCTCTGGAGAAGCTGTTGGGGATTTGCTCGAATCATCCTTGGGATTTGGCCATGGTTTGCTAAGGGGTTGCTTCCAAGATATTGCTAGGTGAGTCTACGACACATTCTAGGAAGGTGTATAGGGTTGGTTTTGCCCATGTGAAGTGCTACTAGATCATACATGGCTTAAGGTTTCTAGTGCTAGGTTACTAAGTGAGGCCTACTTTGGTATGCCATATGCACATATGCAATAATTTAGGTAAGAAACATCTTAAATTATAGCACATGTAAAAAATAAAGCTAACAAAACTAGTTTCATGATTTTTCAACCTATAGAGAATTCATTATGTTTAAGAAAGTTAACAATATATTAAATTTAATTAAAATTATAAACATAATTTGTTGTGCAAACCTATTTTTAAAAGGTAGAGGATAACATAATAAATTCAGCAAATTTGTCTCACAAATATTTGGAGCTATATTTGTTTTTCTTGTGATTTTTTGTAGGATCATGTGTGTTGTGTGCATATGAAATGCCTGTTGCGTGGATGAGGGTGGTGGACTGACCAAATCTAGGGCATGAACCGTCTAACATAGTCGACATATAGACCAACACCGTTTTCATGGTCTATAGGTTCTTTTAGTTTGCGAGGCTACGACAGTTTATACATTATTATAGACGAGGTTCTCTCTCAATCTTTAGTAGCCCTTTTGAGAAAAAAGAGAGATCTATCAAGGATGGATAATGGTAGTGTTAAGTTAATATCCTTTTTAGCACTCGCTATCATCAAAGAAAAGATTACAGTCTCACGCGGCATTAGGGTCCATGAGATTTAGATCTAGTCTACTCTCATAAGATATTGCAATGCCACAATTGATGGATGGTATACACAGTAAGATCCTTCTTTGTCACCTATTTCCCATTCCAACAACTTGCATTGAGCATTTGCTCGTACAAGTGAAATATGTATAATGATGTAGTTTTACACCAAAACTGGATCTTTGGGGTGATAAGTACAAGTGCTACATACAGTCGTAGTTAGATGATGTTACAAGAAGCAAATTTTGATTTGTAAAGCAAAAGTCATACAACTACGATTTGGTTGATTTTATTTTAGGGTTACTCCAATTTACACCTTCTTCAGCAAAAGATTTTCAACCTCGTTTCAAAAAGGTTGTGTTAAGTCAAACATTTTCAAATTTGACTTTTACAAATAATTTGATGTTTTTCGGTGGTTGAGTTTGAAAATATGAAAGTAATGTAAGAGAAAACTCAAATCTCAAAAAAAGTTGTAGATCTCAATCGTTTCATATTTTTATATAAAATTATATATATTGAGATTGTATATTTTATAAATATTTTTTGAGGAAAAGTGAGTCTCATGCGCGAAAAAATAATGCTGAAATTTCAATATATTTTTTAGCATCTTACTAGACTCAAATTGAAAAAACTCAAAACTCAAAAGATGTCGGATGAAGTCTACAATTAATTTTTATCTTAAATGAGATCGTATTGAAGAGATTTTCTATTTTTTGAAATTTGAGTCTCATTGAGTTTTTTCATTTGAGGACGTTAAGATGCTCGAAAAATAATATAAAATTTAGTTTTTAATTTTGTTTTCTGTCAAAGTTCAACCCGAAAAGTCAGGTTAAAAGTTGAACTACGTTTTAAAGGTGGTAAATTTTAATTTTTGCAAGTTGGAGGATGTAAATTGGACTTAACCCTAATTTTTATGGAGTACATTTATAAGTACAAGGAAGTATTTATGTTTAAATTGGCAGAATTTTTTTGTTAAAAAAATGACAGAATTTAAATCCTCCATTTCTATTGGCAAGACGAGTATATTTTGCAAACTTTGATTCGGACAATTATTATTAAAAGACAAATTAAAAAATCTCATCAAATAAAAAGAAAATCTTTTCCCAGCTGCCCCGGAGGCCCGGCCGGCCGGCCTACTACATGTCTACATGTCACATTGTCACCTCTGCTATTTCTTCACCCGTTCACCCGCGTTCATCCGGCCTCCGTTAAATCTCTCTCCCTCCCGGCGACGACCGGGCGACAGCCGCTGCCGCCCTACTCCAGGTCCCCAGGTCTACGTCGGACCCTTCGCCGGCGACGAGCACCCACCAGGTATGCCCAACCCTTCTTCCCTCCCTGCTGCGCGAAACCGAGCACCCAAACCCTAACTAAAGCTATTTGCATTCGGATCTGATCTAATTACAAGTGTATATGTATTATATGCCTACTGAGTACTGACTTCGATTTTTTGGGCAAAATTATCGGGTGTACACCATGTCTCGGGTCCGCCCCTGTTCTGATTTCTGGAGAACAGAGAGATCTGTCACTGATTTCGCAGTCCTCTTGTCAGATGGCGAGCACGGGGCGGTCGATGCTGCTGTCCCTGCTGCTCTTCGCAGTGACGCTGTCGCTGCTGGAGATGTACAGAACCAAGTTCGCCTCGTCGGAGCTCATGACCATCGCCGGTGGATTCGTCTGCTCCCTCCTCTTCCTGTTACTCCTCACCGTGCGTTTCCCCCTTCTAGTTCCTGTTGTTTCTAACTTTCTTTCTCGTTCCGAATGGTGCATTGGTGCAGAAGCCATTGCCCCTCTTTCTGATTTGCTAAATTGAAGTGGTAGAAACTTGTATGGCCACAGTGAAGTAGTAAATAAACATAGGGCGTGTTTGGTCCGAGGAACCACCCGTCGTAAATGAGGTAGTGCACTGTGAAATTTATTTGGTGGGATGACTCCATCCTCATGCTTAGTTCGTGAGGAGTCCTCATCCTCGTGGTCGTGGTGGATCAATCCATTTTATGGTTACTTTTGTGTTATAACATTAATTAGTTCTGGATTCGTCAGCTCTTCATCAAGAAGTGTGCTTACTGCTTGGAATTTTGCCTTATTATGAACTGATAATTGGAACAACTGTTGCAGTTTATTGGAAACTACCAAGAAGCTAGTGGAGATAGAACTGGGTGGGGTGCAGGTATGTGTGGCATATGATCTCTCATGTCTTCTCGTAGTCTTTATTTTACTTTGATCACTGTCGCTCCTCCTTGCAGTTGTTGTAGCACAACTTGTAGCTCTTACTGTAGCTGGCACTGTCCACCGCGTCTGTATCACAACATGGTATGTTACCTTGAACACACACCAGAGTTTTTTTTTACCAGCCATTAGCATTTTTTCTGCTGCATGGATCCATCAATGCTTCCTTTCTGCTAAATAAGGGATTTGTTGAGAACTTGGCATTATCAATAGGTGCTGGTTTGAACATTCTATTGGAATGTTTGTCTATGATGTTTTCTTCTTTCTGATGTCAGAAAAAGAAAACAAGTCACTTGTTTGAGTAAAGGAGTTGGAACCTGGAATAGTTAATTGAGTCATTTGTAAAACTTAGTTTGTTGTTATTAAGGCATACAATCATATTCATTTGATACAAATTTCTTGTGAACCTGGGAATTTTTTTTCCGGTGCTGTCATCTTAAGGTCAAAATGCACAATTCACATGTTCAACCTCGAAACTGCAGTCTAGTGTCAACATAGATAACATACATTATGTACTCGTGCTGGTTGGAAGTTCGAACTGATTTCTGGTCACCAGCCAGAGAATCAAGTACAGTATGCAATATCTGTCCTTTGTTCGCTGTTGTTAACTGTGTTGTTATGAATTTTAACACTAGTATTTTCGCATGTTTTGAAAACTATAGAAAATGCTACGGTCTGACTATACTGCTATTCATGAGTTTGATGTTGTTCGATCCATGATGCCTAATGTGATCAGCACAACGTTTAAGTTTGTAAGATGGATGACTAGTTGGCTAGCAGCTGAGTAAAATCCATTTTATACAAAATGATATATTAGTGATCCTTCTGCAGTTTCAGATTTGCAGTTTGTTAATATCGCTTCCAAGCTAAAGTACACCATATATTTGGCAAAACTCAACAACTTAACAACCATGCCTTTTGCTAGGATGCTAACTTTCTCTGGTATACTTCTTGAATCGACATTTTGCCTGGTAAAAGTGTGTTGGTGGAAACTTATTATACTATCTGTGGTTGTTTGCTTTGAAAGATCAGGCAGCAGATAGACACCATTGCCATAATACCATAGAGTATTCATCCAAGACCCTAGCAATTTTACTTTTTTCTATTTTTGGTGCTCATTCACTCCCTTATATAATATATGTGGTAATTTGCTCTGAAAAATCGGGTAGCAGATAGATACCATTGTGAAAAATACCATTGAGCATCCAAGACCCTAGCGTTTATACTTTTCCTATTTTTGGTGCTCATCCTCTCCCTTAATCATAATTATGTGTTTTTTTTTCTGCAAGTTCATGCCACAAACCCAATGAACAAACTAACCCTGTTGGTCCACTTTGCTGCAGCTTCCTGTTTTCCGCCGGGCTCCTTTACGAGGTTGACAAGCTCTCTGGCATGATCCTTGCGAGGAGTGAGTCTAAGGTGAGGCGGCACTAAGCATAGAAGAAGCACAGAAGAGATGGTATATTCATGTACGATGACGTGTTTTGTATGTCAAACTGGAGCGTTAGTTCGTGCTCGCCATCGGAGTTGAACCCATCAGGCCTTTTCTGCTAGGCATATAGGGGCTCTGGATTCTGGATGCTGGTGCGTTTGCACCGAGGTCGCATTCTGATGTTTGTCTAATCAATTGACTAGGTAATTTACCACCTTTTGCTGGCTTCCGGATGTCATTTTCCTTTCGCCATTCTCTCAGTGCGTTGCATCTGTGTGCAATATGGTTTTGCCATCTTTTTGGCCCTGTTCGCTTACTTATCAGCCATGGTCTCCAGTATTTTTCTTTTCGCAACAAATCAGTAAACAATACTTTTCATTGGCATTTTGTTGCTCAGCTGTTTTTCCACTTCAGGTCTTGTTTTGGAGTAGTCGGATTCGCATCAATCCATGGATTGGAGTAGAATTTGAACTAAATTTCATCCCAACCACCTCACCACATGTAGATGGAGGTAAATACGACAACATTTAAACAAGGCCCCACTGTTTTTTTTATCTATTGGTGAAACGCGAGGACATGTCCTCCGAGACAGGAAGTTTGATGGCACACAACTGAAATAAGATCATAATATATGATGTCATCCTATTGAAAACAAGGGTTGATCCCAACATCTACAGTAATTAAGCACACATTTGTCGCCGGAAATTTTGAAACGAGCAATGTCTCTCCTTCACACAGACTAGTAGACTCGCTTTGTGGTCCTGTGGAGTGTATGAGGTTGGCTGAGGAGCAAATCGAGACCCGAGAGTACGTCACTCCTCGAGAGGCTGGGGCGCTGCTGCGGGCTGTGCTGGCCGGCTGGTGTGGACTGTGGAGAGGCTGCGAAAAAGAAGGGTTTTTCTTCCTGGGCTTTAAAACCGGATAAATCATTTTCTTGAACTTTTAAAATTATTCGTTTTACCTCCCTAACCGGTTATAAGTGGTTTGCTTGTCTTTTTCTTTTTTATTTATGTTGGTTAAATCTTTAAAAAATCATAGTAAATCATAGAAAATCATAAAATGAAAAATCTAATTTTGTTGGACTCCACATGAGTATTTAACATAATGGCCCGTTAAACCCATTTGAAAAAAAACAAGCCAAAACTGTTGTTATTTGATTTTATCTATTAGGGATGAAAACGGATCGGATCTGAACGGATATCACTCATATTATATTTGTTTTCATATTTCATTCGGATTCGGATTAGGACACGGATAGCGTTCGGATACATATACGAATCTGGATTGACTCGAGATGGATGACGAATAATGAGTATCGAATACGGTATGAATCGGATCGGAGAGAAGGGATACAAATATCTATTCGGATATTGAGTAAAAGCAACATATATATATATATCATCGCATGCATAAACCATTACACCACTCTATGAGTCCATAATCCATCTAAATTAAGCCGAAAGACTAAAGAGTAAAGCAACAAATAAGATAAAGATACAGATACATCATACATCAAACATCATATAAGCACCAATCTTGCGGCATGAGTAGAAATAGCCAAGCACATTGCTTCATGGGTCTCATGGAGTCATGGTCATGGATTCAAGATATACAATCCTTATATAGGCCATTTTTTCATTTTGAGAAAGTTTGAACAAAATGTAGTTCAAATTTCACAAGTGTGTGACATAGTTTTAGAAAGTTCAGTCGATTTAAGAATTTGTGACTAGTGTTTGATAAAACTTTCTCAAATGGGAAAATGAGCTATGTAACAATTGTATATCTTGCTGAGATAATCAAACTTGGTATTCAGAGTTTTTTCATCTGAGGTCATTTAGTGTCTCATTTGAGCAAGTTTGACCAAGTCAAATTTGGTCAAATGAAAAACAACACTTTGACTCTAGTATTATGAACTCTAAATGACTTCAAATTGAAAAGTTTTGAATACCAAGTTTGTTCAACTCATCAAGATCTACAATTCTTGTTTTGGTCAACTTTCCATTTGAGATAGTTTGGACGGTTCAAATTTGTAATTTTTAAATTTCGATGCTTACAAACTAGTTTTCGGAACCCTAGATTGTCTCAAATTGAAAAGTTTTGAATACCAAGTTTGTTCAGCTCATCAAGATCTACAATCCTTATATAGGCTATTTTTTCATTTGAGAAAGTTTGAACAAAATGTAGTTCAAATTTCACAAGTGTGTGACATAGTTTCAGAAAGTCTATATGAGATTCAAGAATTTGTGACTAGTGTTTGATAAAACTTTCTCAAATGGAAAAATGAGCTATGTAACAATTGTATATCTTGCTGAGATGATCAAACTTGGTATTCAGAGTTTTTTCATCTGAGGTCATTTAGTGTCTCATTTGAGCAAGTTTGACCAAGTCAAATTTGGTCAAATGAAAAAACAACACTTTGACTATAGTATTATGAACTCTAAATGACTTCAAATTGAAAAGTTTTGAATACCAAGTTTGTTCAACTCATCAAGATCTACAATTTTTGTTTTGATCAACTTTCCATTTGAGATAGTTTGGACGGTTCAAATTTGTGATTTTTAAATTTCGATGTTTACAAACTAGTTTTCGGAACCCTAGATTGTCTCAAATTGAAAAGTTTTGAATACCAAATTTGTTCATCTCATCAAGATATACAATCCTTATATAGGCCATTTTTTCATTTGAGAAAGTTTGAACAAAATATAGTTCAAATTTCACAAGTGTGTGACATAAAAGTCTATATGAGATTCAAGAATTTATGACTAGTGTTTGATAAAACTTTCTCAAATGGGAAAATGAGCTATGTAACAATTGTAGATCTTGCTGAGATGATCAAACTTGGTATTCAGAGTTTTTTCATCTGAGGTCATTGAGTGTCTCATTTGAGCAAGTTTGACCAAGTCAAATTTGGTCAAATGAAAAAACAACACTTTGACTCTAGTATTATGAACTCTAAATGACTTCAAATTGAAAAGTTTTGAATACCAAGTTTGTTCAACTCATCAAGATCTACAATTGTTGTTTTGGTCAACTTTCCATTTGAGATAGTTTGGATGGTTCAAATTTATGATTTTTAAATTTTGAATAAATATCCGGATAATATCCGTTTTTAAATATCCGGATATATCCGATACTTATCCGGATTATCCGATATCCGCCGGATATCGGTGATATTACATCCGTATTTGATATCCGCCTAAGATATCCGTTTTAGTATCCGTATCCGAAAAAAAACCGGATATCCGAGTAACTATCCAGATAAGTGTTCATATTTGTTCGGTCGAACGGACGGTCGAATAAATATCCGTATCGTTTTCATCCATAGTTTCAGCTGAAAAAATAAGCTGAAAAAGGTGGATTATAAGAGAAGCGAAGAGAGCCAATATGGTATGCTTTAGTATAATTTTTTGCTATAACTTTATATCTATACTTTTCTATAATTAATTCATATCTACAGTTTCTATGGTTCAATTGTGGTGAATATTTTATGGTGGGATAATTATTTGCTTGAACTGTAGTAAAGATTTCACACTCATTGGATCATGTATAACTTAGTTATAGATGTCAGAGAGGTAAAATGAATGGTTTTAAAAGTTTAAGGAGGTGGTTTATCCGATTTTAGAGTTTAGAGTGAAAAAATAGACTTTCCCAAAAGTTAAGAGGTAACTTGGACTTTTCCCAATCTGGCCTGATCCATTTACGCTTGTGCGATTTTCCCGAATGGGCTAGCCCATACACTTGGGTCTGGGCCCTGAATTCAGGAGCCGCTAGCCCGCTACGCGGCGCCCTCTCTGAAACCCTAGACCTTATCGCTATATATATATATATATATCCAAAAATCGGGTGAGGGATAGCACGGACGCAGCCGCCGCCGCCACCTCTGCCCTATTCCTTCCCTCCTTCGGCATCACGTCCGACGGCGACGGCTGCGGCGGTTTCGGCTTGGACAGCTGTGGTCGCACCCTTCCTTCGTTTCAGCTTTCCTCTTTTCTTTATCTCGTTGTTCACTTCTGTTGTCCGTCGCTGGTTTGAGGAATTTTGGGGGCCGTTGTATTGATGCAGATGAGGACACAAGTTTTAATGGGTAATTTGCGTCTGAGGCATCTCTGTGATGTCACACCCTTTTCACCTTGGAGATCTGATGCATACTCAGTTCGTCCCTACGGCCCCTTGATCTGTGATCTGTCTGTTTGTGCTGATTTCTGATTCCGTTTTGTTTTTGCGGTGAGGAGATGACGTGATGATCGAATTGTTTCCCTATTGGTTTGATTGGCCGCCATGATGGCTCAAACTGTATTAGCTCTATGTGATCATCTCCTTGGCGATCTGATTTTCCAAAACCATCGAACCATTTATTTAATTATTACTATGTATTGTTGTAGGAAACACTATATTAACATGACATCGAAACTGTTAAGTGAGTACTGCTGGTTTCACAATCCTTTTTATCATATAAAACTAGCAAACAATTTGCGATCATACGTGCTCTCTTTGACCGCAGAGAGAGTAAATTTTAGGCAGAATAAATATATTTCGATGTCAATCAGAACTGATGGCACCGAATGTGTGAACTTAAATTTATAAGGTTAGGGAGGGAGTATCGGAAGCAAGAAACAGCCAAAGAGTATTATGACCAAAAGCTTCAGGTTTTCTTGCTTCAGCTGGTAAATGCTGGCCAAGAGAGCTGATGCACCTCACCTGGGACCTCGCCTGGGCCGAAGTGTCTCAAGCCCCTCAGCTACTGAGCTTGTTGGATAACCTCGTATGCAATTGTCAGTAGCTTTTTTGGTGTTGTGTTATAAGGCACACAGCACACAACGGAAGCAAACGCTACAACACAAAACCACATACGTAATATGTTTTTGTTGCACAATTAAACCACATACGTAATATGTTTTTGTTGCACAATTAAACCACATACGTAATATGTTTTTGTTGCATTATCTTTTTTTCGAGGTTTTTTTGTTGCATTATTGTTCCATTCTTATCGAACCAAAGCGTG